AAAAAAAATTTGCAAAGTTACCAAGAAGCTAAGCAACATCAAGAATTAGGCTAAAAAAAAAGTAATAAAGGCCTCTGTTAAGGTTCCAACTCGAAGAAAGAAAGGGAAATCTGCTTCATTATTAGCAACAGAGAAGTCTTCAGAAAATGAGAAGAAATGCAAAAAATTGACTAAGCAAAAAGAAGAATTAATTATTAATAAGAATAGAACAAGGAGGTTAGGTGAGCCTTTAGGTAATAAAGAAACCGATTCTTGTCCTAATTCTGTAAAATCTTCAAATTGTATGTTGTGTTAAGAAACACATAAAAATGCTCAATGTCTCAAATATAATACGGTGGAAGAAAGGAAGAAAAGAGCCAAGGAATTAAAACTTTGTTACAAATGTTTAAAAACAAATCATGGAACAAAAAATTGTGATAATAAATCGAGGCCTTGCCACTACTGTACTCAAAAACATAATGTATTATTTTGTAAAGCGAGCAAGGAACAAAAGCAGCCTATCAGTAGTTCTTTTTTATCTCATATTCATGGATACTTTAAAAACAAAAGTTATCTGTCAGACTAAAGTGATACTAGTGAAGATTCAAAATTAACAATATTTAATAGTAAACATGTTAGTTATGAAGACGAACCAATATTGCATGACTCATCATATAATTGCGAAACAATCTCTCTTAGTCTCTCTTCCTTCTATTTTGGAAAAAAAATAAGAAATAAATAAGAATTTTTCAATAGCAAAAGAAATAATAACAGAAAATCTTTTTCATTTTTTTTTTTATAGAGCCAAAGTAGTACCCCTCTTTGATACTGAAAGTCAAAATTCCTTTATAGGTGAAAAACTGGCTAGGAATTTAAGTTCAGAACCTATGAGGGTATGACCAATTTAAGAAGAAAAGGTTCTGGTCCAAACTCTATAACTTCAAAAGCTGGGAAGTAGAATTGATACTTATTGATCGCGCGGGTATTCCTACTGAGTTATCAGCTTATACAGTTCCAAATTTATCAGACAATATTCAAGTAATTAAACTGCACCCGCAATTACTGAAGGAAGAAAGTGCAGAAGAAATAATGAAAAATACTCAATAAAAACAATTCAGACTTTTTTCAAGTAATTCTTGTTTTCGTAAACTTTTTAAAGAAATAAAAACATTGAAATCAGGATTTATTTATATAAATACAAAATTAGGACTAATAATCACTGGTTGACCTCAAACGGAAGACGTGGAAAATGCTTTTCATTCAGTAGAATCCTCTTATAAGTTCAATACAGCTAGAGATATTGATTTCTTCTGATAGTTAGAATCAGTAGGTATTAATAATGGTCCTGAAAAAAACAATGATGAGAAAACTTAAAATTATTTCCAAGAAACAGTAGCAAAAGATGAAAGAAGATATGTTATTTACTGGCCATGGAAAGAAAATAGACCTAAATTAGCAGATAATTTTAGACTCTGTATAGGAAGATTGAGATTTTTATGGAACAAATTAATTAGAGATGAAAATCTGCTCAATCAATATAATGATATAGTAAATGATCAGATTGAAAAAGGAATAATAGAAAAGGTGGATCCTAAGGTAAATAATAATATATTACACTATTTACCATGCCAACCAGTGGTCACACCCAATAAGACCACCACCAAATTAAGGGTGGTATATGATGCTTCCGCGTGTACAAGTACTGGAGTAAGTCTGAATGAGGCTCTGTTTAGAGAGCCAGTTACGCTTCCAGACTCATGCGAGATTCTATTGAGATGGAGGAGAGGAAACTTTGCATTAGTAGCCGATATAGAAAAGGCTTTTCTTTGAAAAAAATTAATAAAAAGGATAGAGACGTTACTCGATTCCTATGATTAAAAAATCCTTGATCTCCTCCGATACCAAAAAATTAATTAACTCTTAGGTTCAAAAGATTATCTTTTGATATTATATGTAGTATTTTTATTTTGGCTGCGGTAATTAGAACCTACTTTAAACAATATACCTCTCCAGAAATGGAAAGTATTTCACAAAATACACACGTAGATAATATAATTTACCTGAAGCAAATTCTGAAACATTTTCAATTGTTGAAACTTGTTTTTAATAACACCAAAATGAATATAAGACAATTTACAACTAATTCAGACTATGGTTGTAAGGTTATATCAAAAGAAGGCAGAAATGAAAGTGACGAGATATCAGTATTAGGAACGTATTAGAAGCCTCATATTGATGCTATAAAAATAAAAATTAAATCATGGAAGAGAGAACCAAGTACAAAAAGAAATATTCTGTCGTTTGTAGCTAGTCAATTTGATCTACTGAGATTAATAAGTCCCACTTCCCTGCTATTGAGAAGATTTTGTCAAAAATTTTGGGAACGAAATTATAAGTGGAATAAGTCGTCAAAATCGAGTTTAATGAAAGAATGGAACAAACTAGTAGAACCTTTCGAATTTGCTCAATTATTAATTGATAAACAAGTTCTACCAGATAAAAATTGGGACCTACATGTATTTAATGCAAAAGATCCGTTTATCAAAATGCACAGTTATAGACTAAATATTAGCATAAAATTTGACAATACTACTAATAGAAATAAAATTGTTGGTCGAGTATTTGATCCTAACAATTCAAAACTACAATATTTACATAACTTAATTGTAAGGCATGTAAAAGAAAGATCTAATTTAGCATTTGAAAAATGATGTTCAATCAGTAACGAATTATTAAAATTCATATTACATAGTAGTGAAGATAACCCCTCATTGACGGTTAAACTTCTACTCAGAAGAGATAATATAATAGCTGTAAAAACAGAAGAAGTATTATTGACAGTTCTTTGCAAGAAAGTTGTTCCGTAGATAGTATATTGAGATCATCAAGTTGATGAAATTTCTTGCGATGACTTACCAATAAAGGTCATGAACAGGATCTAATTTGCCTTTTCATACACTAGAATAATACAAGCATCTTTTTTTCAAAAGAACCGTCAGCAACATCTGAAACCAGTGTATAAGGAAGGAGAAATTTAGGCTTATGTACAACATCACGTACCGGTACAGGAGATACACAATAATTTAGAATTACAAATATATATAAAGATCATATAGAATTCACGGCCCAAGCTTACTATGACCCTGATTTAGAAAAAGTAAAAAAAGGAATAGGTTATTTAACAGACAGAGTACAGCTAAATGACAAAAGAATGAGAAAGGTTCACCAAGCAAGAGTTAAATTATCTTTGTAAGATCGAATAGATCAAGTATTATATGATATGAAAGTGCAAGATGCAGCACGCAAAGTTGAAGATTCGATCAATCAAGGAATATTCCTCTGGAAATATAAGTGGTTTATTAGCACTGTTATATTACTGATATTATTATTCGCCGCTGTTACTTATTATTCGTCGCTGTTACTTATGAAAATATTCTTCTAATTATCTTGATAGTTGTCAAAAAACTGACTGTCAGTTCTGTACTATCATCAGACATCTCTGTAATAAGAAAAAATTGAATTAAAGACCCCAACTAGCTTTAAGATATCTGGCAACTGAGGAACCACTACAAGAAAATACAATAAGCTACGACGCTCTAACTATTCATCCTATCAAACCAATGAATAATGAGAAGCCACAACCAGTTATGACCAAACAGGAAAATTCCAGGATATCGATGTACTGAGTTATAGCCGAAAATTGCGATCAACACGAACTCAAAATCAACTCAAAACCAGAGAACCCGTCGTAAAATTGACAAGTAACAGCAGAAATACCAGTAGAACCAGAAGAACAAAGAAGTAAAAGTACACAAAAAAAGAGAAAGAAATACGTTGATAAATTTTCTATTGTAATTAATATATCACTAACTATTCCTTATATTAAAAAAAAACCAAACAAACAAATAATTTATATATAAAAGGAATAATTTATCAATATATTAAAAAATTATAGTATATAAAATCAATGCATAATTTATTGTAAATGGCATTCTTCCTAATATAAATTATATGTACTAACTGGTAAAGAATTACAAGTGCAACTTCATAATATCAATAATGCCCGATCATTGATCAGTAATAGTGATTAATTTCTCGCAGTGGAAGTGTAGCGAAATAATAAGAGATCAAGGGTCAGAAGAAAAAATCAACAATTGAAAGGAAAATTAAAAGAATGAAGAAAACCAAGTATCTATAAGCAAAAAGAATTTATTATTACTTGTCGATAAAGTGATCAGTGACTAATTGGATAATGAATGACCGAGAGATATCTTGTACGTAAGGATAATTCAAGAATCAGAAGGATAAAAGGACAGCAGAGATATCAGCAGAAATGATGAAACGGTCAAGATCAAAATTACTTTTACACTAAAGGAATAATGAATACGAAGTTACTCTCACAGCAAAAAGTACAAATTACATATTTTAGTAAGTTGGGAAGAGTTCTAGATATTGTATAATCAGAGTATATTGTAGAAAGTACTTTTTATAAGATTAATGCATTTACATTTTTGCTTTGAATCTTGACAGCATAAAAGAATAATTGCGAAAACACGAGGTTTTTTTTCTGAATTTGTTTAGGACTTATTGTACTCTCTCATACTATCGCTCTGTATCATCAGAAAACATAATAA